CCACACTACCATATAGGCAGAAATTGGATTGGGTAAGGGACAAAAGTAGTGCATCTTTACACAAACCTGTCCCCAACAATGAAAATAAAAGGGAATCTGTAGTGGTTTCCTTTCTAAGATCATCAGCAAAATAGTTAATCATTTAGCTTCTGATTTCTTTGTAGTCTTTCAAGCCTTTCTCTTTACGTGCCATGTGCCCCTGAACCACTAGAAAATGGAAAACATTCATACTGAAAAGCCTTCTTAAGAGCTAAGGGTTGCAAGTCTGTGCAGAAATGGGAGAGAAGTTCACACCTCATTAAGAGTTATTGACAAGTTCTTTCTCACTTTGAAAAAACATAACTTGTGCCCCTGCAGACTTAGGTAATGTCCTATTTCAGGCCACACAATAAATTTCTTTTCACAATAACTAGTAGAAATCTTGAATTTTATAGATAAAAAAACTTTATCGTGGAGAAGCTGATGTGAACCCTTGTAAAATCATTGGTGTCAGCCACAGTAGTGAGCAGTGCTCTCAGCGGCTGTCTTCTGGGACTGGTAGACAGATCAGCTTCCCCAGGAGATTTTCTACCTGGCATTTGTTACATTCCCTTGAAAATATTGCAGTTGCACTCTGTCCCCCTCTCTGTGGCAGGAGAGACTTGAGCAGAAAACTTCCTAAGGTTAGTTCTAAGCACTCTGAAGACAAGCTGTTTTATCTCTGTCATGCACTGCCACTCCAGATGGCCAACATTTCTAGCCCCATATGCCCTAGCCCAAAGTCTTCACTCAGTTCCAAAACAGCAGCCCTCAGTGACTCCTAGGTCCTGCAGTTATTATTGTCCACCCAGACAGGCATGAAAAACTAACAGCAAAAGTAGAATTTTCAGCATTTCCCTAAACTTGGTCAGGCTGTCCAACTTCTTGACACCAACTATATTGCAGGTCATACTCTTATCCACAGTTTTTGTGGGTTTGTTTGGGTTTTTTTTGGTTTTTTTTGGGTTTTTGTTTGTTTGTTGTTTTTTGTTTTTTAAATATTAATTGCTCATTCTTATTTTAATGCAGATTTCCATACAATAAACCCACACCACACCTTCTCCTCCTTTAATACTGCCCTTTACTTCTCCAAGTGAATAGCCAAATTCTAAAATGCTTCCTTTCTTGATCTGTTGGAGTAGAACATACTTATGGGGTTTGTAGTAAGAATGAACTAAGGATATTTGCAATTTGAACTAGTATGTGTGCATTTCATTAATCCCTCTTCCATCACCCACTTAACCTTTATGGGTGTTATTACTGCCTCTCGTTGTATTGATTTCTGTCCATTTCTTCACTTTAGTGAGATCATGCAGTATTTTAAACCTGTCTTCCACTGTATAACTATGTGTAGCTGGGGGGTAATTGACATCAATTTAAAGAATGAAAAATTAGGCTAAATATCCAGGGTAAACTTCCTAATGGTGAGATCTGGTAGAATGCACTGCTGTCTCTACATGGGATTGGTGGCTCTTGCATTACCATGTGCATTAAAACTGCACTAGAGGAGTATAAGATTATAGATCGGACAGAACAATCCTGAAGTAGGAGGAAAAAGACAAGCTGCAGAGCATTGCAGCTTGCCTCCTATGGTCATCTCAGCCTGAATAAGAGCAGGCCCCATGGAGACGTTATAGCAGATTTCCAGTACCTAAGAGAAAAAAAGAAATCTGGTGAAGGCCTTTTAATAGGGACTGTAGGGACAAAACAGGGGGGAATGGCTTTAAACTAAAGGAAGATAGATTTACACTAGATGTAAGGAAGAAATGCTTTACAATGAGTGTAGTGAAACACTGGACCAGGCTGCCCAGAGAGGTGGTAAATGCCCCACCCCTGGAAAAATTCTAGGTCAGGTGGGAGAGGGTTCTGAGCATCCTGGACTAGTTGAAGGTGTCTCAGCTCATGGCAGGGGGGCTGGAACTAGAGGGGTTTTAAAGGTCCCTTCCAAAACCCAAGCCATTCTACGATTATACAAAGAAAGCCAGAGCACTCTACAAATCCCTGACATAGGTAGTCAGAGCCTGGGACAGTGAGTATATGCTGGAGCACACATCTCTTCCCAGTCCCCAGAGATACCCATCACCTGCAGAAAGACAACACATCTAAGATCACAAAGCCATCACCTACCCCACAACATTACTCTGATACAGTTTGTTTCAGTGGCATTGGTCAGTTCTGTCATCATCCTTCACTTCTTACAGAAATCACATTCTAGCAGAACAGTTAAAAACTGATTGCAGAAAGAAGCCTGTTTGTGTCAAGGCACACATCAGAAAAAGGAGAATAGGACTTTCATTTAAAATACACTGCTGGCTCTTAGGACTGTAAAGGTAACAGTCCAAGCAGAAACAAGCATGTTCTTTATGCACCTTGAGTGAAATGGTTTAACTGCAAGAATGGCCAGAAAAAAGGTTCTCCTCCCTACTTTTTATGGAGAGGTTCTATCATATCTAGGGAACAGGGGAAGGAAGAAGCCTATTTTCATCTGAAGTTGGTACTGCCAGCAACCACATTTTATTAAATAAGGACTTCTGTCAGCTCCTGGGAAATGGAAACATCATTTTCAGCAACAAAACCCTACATATTTATCTCAAAAGCCAAGTAGGCTGGTACTTATATTGATTGTTTGGGGCGGGAGGCAGGCTTTTTCCTTTTCAGGTCCTTGAAATTTGTCTGCCATGAATAAGCAGATTTTTCAAAACCTGAAATTTCCCTCTAAGAAAATTTCAAAGGAAACATTTCCATCAGGTCCACTGAATTAGCAGCAGCACAAAAATGGCTCAAAAATGGCTCAACTTCACAGCTGCTCCCCTGAATCTTTCTGAGAGCTGAGCAAGAAAGGAGAAGACCTCTCCATTTCTGATTTTCCATTAGGAAAGAAATTAGCAGATATTTGTGTAGTGACAGGGATGTACACAGGATAAAGGGCCAAGTATGAACTTCACACTGTTCATGAAAAAATAATTTTCTCCATGGCAGGAGGTGAAGGCTACAAATTTGACTGATAAAGAGTAGCCAGAGGCTGATACAAAAGGCTAATTCTCTTAGTAAAACCTCCAGAGAGTATTCCAGTAGAACACTGAGGCCGGCAAACTGCTGGGGAAGATGAGAAATAAATGCAGCCATCTCACATGGACACTGCCTCTGGATTTCTTGACTGTGCTTTTCCTATACGGCACTTTTCATAATGCCCTCTGGCTAGAACCATTGAAATGAAACTTATTGATTGAAATTCTGATCCGATGGATTTTACACATGAGATTTGTGTGAATAGGAAAGAGCAGGAACTGCTCTCTGACTGCTCCCATCCCCGTTTATTCTCTGCTGAACACACGTAGTAGGCTTGCATGTCCATCTCAGTCCCCTGAGCTTTCAGAAATAAATTACCCAAAATTCAAATATACGGTACCTATTAGCTCACAAATGTGTGGTAAATATTACTGGTCCTTGAATACAGTAACATTATTTATGAGTTCCTATTCGCTTTCTTTTGTCTGCTTACCCTCTTTATCTCATTAACTGCACGCTTTGTTTTTCCCCTTCATTTCCGAAGGTGGGAAAATGGGAAAAATACATTCCAGGAGGAAGGCAAGATGGGAAACAGTGCTGGGAGGAGATGATGTTTCCCCGTAAGAAAAATGCCTGGGAAGTCATGCTTAAAATACTTATGAAGTGCTATTTGAAACTCTGTATCTACCTCTAAAGGAAGAGTCCTGGATGTGAGAACTGCAGGACTCAGGACAGCATGTCAGAAGATCCCAGAGGAGGCAATGAACAGAGGTCCTAAGTGAAAAACACAGTGTGAACACACAGTCACCCACACCCAACACCACAAAAAGCAGCTCACTGCCTTCCCTGAACAACTGTGATGCAACCCCGGAGCAGCCTAAATCCATCATTTCTTTTCCACAACACAGGGATGGCCCTGTAGAGGCTCCTGTAGACATTTGCTTTCTGGCAGGGAGGTGGAGTGGGCTTTAGAGGCAAAATCAGCTGCCTCACCTCTCACAGCTACTTCGTAATAATGAAACCTCCCTTTCCAGACTTCTTGTTTGTTGAAGTGGCGGGTGTCCCTTCTGTACACCAGACAGCACTCCTTGATTTTGACCATTTCATGTTGATGCATCTTACCTTGCTGCACTCAACACTTCATTCTTTCCTCTCTAGATCTTTTTATATATCAATGTTATGGATTAAGGTTGAATATATTTTGACTGTCTGGGCCAGTAGAAAAGCATTTTAAATGAAGTCTTATTTGTTTCATTTTCCCTATTGATATTTGTTTTCTGTTTCTAACCTTGTGGAATGGCAAAACCTGCCAGGGAAATTGTAGGATTTTAACTTGCTAGAATCCCTAAATAGTTGTTGGATGTCATGGAATGGTTATGAAAAGAGGAAAGGTCATCTGCTAAGATCTGTGATTGCACTGCAAGAAAGCATCAGCCTCATGTTAATTAGACTAATGAAAAATATAATCGAAGATGCTACTGAAGCTCAATGCCCTGCATCAAGCGCATCACTCCTGCTTAATCCGTTCCACAAGTGTTGATGGAACTGACTTCAGCTGCATGGGGCGGCAGCCCCGGGCCTCTGGGGAGCCCAAGGCCGCACATACAGCAGCCGCTGGAGCCCGCCACTCTCCCGACTCCCCATCCCCAGGCGCTGAGGGGCTCGGCCCCGAGTGACCGGGAAGCGGGAGGCAGCGGCCCGAGTCACGGCCTCTCCCGTGCAGGTGACGACAGAGGCCCGGGGACCTCAAGGAGCTGGGATCATGGCCTCCGTCCTACCCAGGGCGAGGAGACTGGAACCGAAGCTGCGACCCCTCTCCATGCCGGCTGTGCAGCCCCGGCCGGACCCCGCCACAGGTCCTCCTCTCACACCAGGCTCTGGCGAGCAACGCTGGGGCAGCGCCCAGAACCGCTGCCGGGAGCATGCGCGAGTCCCGCGCGTCACGGGAGCGGGCGAGGCCGGCGGGAGCGCGGAGCCCCGGCGCGCCCCCTCCCTCTCTGCTTCCCTGCTGCCGCCGCGCCCGCGCCTCCATTCGGCCCTGCCGAGCGCTGCCCGCTCCCAGCCGTCACCGCCCGTTAGAGCCCCGCCACTCGCCAAGGAGGGGAGAGCACAGCAGAGGGAAGGACCCTCCCCTCGCCGCGAAATCTCTTCCTTCTTCTTCTCCTCCTCCTCCTTCTCTTCCTCCGCCTCTGCCTCCCGGCCGGGAAGAACTAGCCGTGCCCGCAGCAGCCCCGGTGGATGCACTGAGCGCTCGGGCGCGGGGAGAGGGGCAGAAGAGGGAGCCGGGAGCCCCGCCGCTTAGGCGCTGTGCTGCCGGAGGCTCACGGCCATCCGCTTGAATTCTTCGCCCCCCGCCCGCCGGTAGCTGGCTTCGCCCCTGCCTCCTCTCCGCCCGCGGGAGCCAGCCGAGGCGGCGGCGGGGGCTGCACTCTCTCCCCCTTTTTCCGCCTTTTTTTTTTCTATTTTTAATTTAATTTTTTAATTATTTTTGCCGCCGCCATGGGATGTACCTTGAGCGCCGAGGAGAGAGCCGCCCTGGAGCGGAGCAAGGCCATCGAGAAGAACCTGAAGGAGGACGGGATCAGCGCCGCCAAAGATGTGAAACTCCTCCTGTTAGGTGAGAGGCCGGTCGCCCCTTCCCCTAACCCGCGTCCCCTCACCCGCCTCCTCCCCGGCGCTTATTCCGCCCTTCATCTCTCTTTCAACAGGGGCCGGAGAGTCGGGAAAAAGCACCATCGTGAAGCAAATGAAGTAAGTCTGGCCGTAGCCGGTGGGGGTTGGGGAGAGGGGCCATGAAGGGGGGGAAGTTAGAGGGCCGTAATAGAAGGGAGAGGGGGCTGGCTGAGGTGAGTGAGGGCCGCGGGCGCCATGTTTACCTGAGGGGCCGCGAGGGCGGGAAGGCATAAGGCTGGGGGGAAGGCTCCGCCACCGCAGCTCACGCTGCTGTTCTGGGCGATGTGGTGCTGAAGTATCCCCTCGGCGGCCTCGCCTCAACCGCTGAAGCTGTTGGAGCCTACCTTCCCCTCCCCGAGCCGTGAGGCGAGGCCCTGTAGATGCCCCCGCGAAGCCGAGCGCTGTCAGTTCAGCTTAATGTCGGTGTGATATCTGCCCTGTCTGCGGATTCAAATCAAGGCATCCCCATCACTTTTCCCGAGATTTCAGCCTCTCCTTTGAATTAGAGCGTGGCCGCCCGTCACACTCAACCCCTGCCCTGGTGCCCGAGGTGGCTCCCAGAGCTCCCCTGCACATGCTCTGCCTGTGTTTAATTAGTGCAATAAACAGCAGTGACATCCCCCCCCCCCCCCGCACCATCTCTTTCAACACTGCATCCCTTAGGAAGGCAAGCGCAGGGGAAGGCTGACGATGAAGGGGGTGGAGGTGCTGCCGTGGTACCGTTATTCCCCCCCCCCCCCCCCCCTTCTTTTTAATTAAAATACAGCGAAACACCACGGTCTCGCACCGACACAGACATGACGGGCTGGTCGGAGGTGGGCGCCATCTCGGGACAAGCCCCGGTGCTGGTTCAGCGTCTGGGTTTCAGCCGAGAGAGGCGCGGAGTGGCTGATGCTTTGCTATGCCAGTGGTTGCAGAGGGACCGGAGGCTGGGAGGGGCCCCCACGGGGTTGCTGAGCGAGGCGGGGGTTGGCAGCAGAGCTGGGTGTGGATAGGGTGCAGGGAGCTGGATGCAGGCTTCCCTCCGCAGTTCCGGCAGCCGGAGCCTATGCAGGGGACCGAGCCAGTCCCGGCGCGGCTGTGGCTTTCAGGCGGTTCGCGTGGTGGACAGCGCCCAGCGAGGGCTCGAGCCGCCGGCGATGCGGCCGCTTCGGTACTCTTCGGCTCTTCCCGGAGGTGGCCGAGCGCCGAGCTCGGCTGCCTTCGGAGAGCACTCGGAACCTGTCTGGGAGAAGCCGAAGTGGCTCGGACGTAGCCGAAGGGCGTCGTCGTCGCTCGGCAATATGTTGCCTTGCACACCCGTAGCCACGCTGGATGTGTGTGTGTGTGAGAGTACGAGTGTGTGTGTGTGCGCGCGCCGGATCTGGGCCTTCATCGCTGCTCGTCTCTAGCCAGAGTGGCTCAGCAGGTGACTCCGGTATTTCTGTATCAACTCTGCGGCTGCTGTGCCCAGCCCTCTGGAGTGGACTGAGAGCTAACCATCATCCCTGCCTGAGGCAGTGTTTTTTTGAAGGCACTGCGGGCCTGGAAGGCCTCCAGTGCAGCTTTTCCCACTCGCATCTGTGTACTGTACCTGTGTAAAGGCTCTGAGCTTTCCCTTTCACAATTTGAAAGGGGGCTGTCCACCCTGACAGTTTGATTTGGTGCTGGGGCAGGGTGGGTTTGGTTTGGTCTTGTTTGTGGAGGAAAGGTGGATCAGAGGAGCTGTTACTGCAGATGAACACCAATAAATTATTTAATCTCTATGAACTGCTTCTGCAGAAGCATGTTGGAATGGTGGGCGATGCATTTTGGTGGAAGAAAAAGGCTGTAGGTACCACAATAGCTGTGCAGATACATGGAGCCCATAGGTGGGAGGGCAGGTGGTGAGCACACTGGCTTACACAATTAGTGTGCAGTCAGTCTTGTCTTCCAAAGAGCAGAGCTCTTGTTTTTTATCTTGATACAAATTACATCAAGATAATAACCTGTTTGCTGGACTAGATTAGTATGTTGAAGACTGAACTATGCCCTGATATATATATATATATATATATATAAATAAAATATTTATATAAGTATTATTTTTATTTTTTTTATACATATATATATATAAAAAAACATTTTTTCCATGAGACAGTCTTAAGGTAACGCATGCTAGGCTTGCAGCTTTGTACCTGACTTGAAAATGCCAAGGAGGCTGCTGTGGTGAAGGGGTGTAGTGTTGGCAACTGAGAGGCATCTGTCAATGTGGAAACTCCAGTGAAGTGTGCGAAGGCTGGGGTGGGGACAGCGGTGTTGCTATGAGCACAGCAGCAGGCATCGGGAGGGAGCCGCGCAGCCACGGGCACCAAAAAAAAGGATGTGCAGGGAACAACTCAGGGAAATTAACATTTCTGAAAATTAGTTTAAATGTAATGTAGGGGTTAGCATTTCACCTGGTCAGGCTCCATTAGACAGGCTTGGGGAGAACCTAATGAATTCTTAATAAAAATTAAATCACGTGTTCATTAGATTTTGATGAAAGAGACTGCTATTTTATTTTTTTGATACTGTGTTACTGGTGAGCTTACATACTAAATCTCATCCTCATGAGTGGCTAAAGCAGCTTCACACTTGGTTATTGCCTTGAAAAGAAGCACTGTAATCTGTAGACAGATGAGAAAAATCTAAGAGAAACAGAGAGCAGACATTTTTAGAGAGGACTACAAAAAGGTCATGCACTGTCCAGTTAATCCTTGAAATATTAGGTAGTGGGAGAAGTGACAGGTAAAAATTACAATAACTTGAGAGTGTATTTGAGCCAGGATGGGGATTAGGATTTGTAAAATTAATTCAGGATGTTTTAGTGAAATATTTGGATAGCTTTCCGCTGGTGAGTGGGACGTTACCATCAAAGAAAGAGGTACTGGCGAATAGGAGAGAGGTGGAACTGAAGGTTAACCTCTACATCCCAGACAGTGGCAACACACTATCTGGGCTGCAGGACTGGTTGTGAAAAAGCAAGCAAACCTAATCAGCCAAGGTGGGTGTATTCAAGGGCTAAGGATATCAAAACAACCTTGGTGCTATCCAAAATGCCATCCTTAGCCCTTGACTACACCCACCTTGCCTGATTAGGGTTGCTCCTTGTTTTTTCACAACCAGTCCTTCAGCCCAGATACTTTCACCCATGCCTCAAAATTCAGTGTTGGGGCCAAGCTAGTGAAGGGAACAGTCCCAAATGGTGCAGTTGTGCCACGCAAGCCAATGAAACTTCAGGGTGTGCCACAGTGTTCACAGGCTGTGACCACATTCTGTTTTCACTGAGCTTAAACAAAAAAACAGCTTTAATGATGGAAATGTGGGGCTTCCTTTGAAGAACCAAGCCAGAGTGTGAGAGATACCAGGTGAGAGAAGTTACAGTCTTAGATTCCCAACACCCCATCTCAGCAAATTAACTTTGATATAGGACCGCAACAGATGTCAACATTTTTTAGATCTTTTACCTGTAAGTAAATGTTGAGGACATGCAGAATTTGCAGTATGTGACCGTCTTTTCTGGAATACCTGGCTTGTAGCATGGAATCAAGACTGCTGTTTTTCTAGGATATTTTTGTGGGGGCTTAAATTCTAGGAATGTGTTTGTTCATGAAATGGCCCAAGCATATCTCCATCCATTACGGCTCAGCAGGATACTTAAATATGCCCAGTGGTCCAGTGGTGAGCAGGGATGGACTCCTCGGACACCACCCACTGCCATCAGTATGAAGCTTCTAGGGAATTCAGCATTTAATCAGGCCAACACAGGATGAATTAACTGGCATGGCTTCAAAAACAAGGTCCTGTGACCTACTCAGTGTCAGCAGTTCTGGATGGTGAGTTGGGGCAGTACTTCACCTTCCCAAGCAAGGGGTGATGGTGATGGTACTCAGGGGTAAACATGCCTTCAGCTGCCCACAGGAAAAATCTTAGGGTTTGAGGTTTGGTTTGGGATTTTGCCCCTGCAGAAGCAGCAGCTTCTGTCCCCTCCTTAGCTGGGAGCAGAGAGGTTTTTCTGGCTTCCTTTCACAAGATGCCAGAGCTTCCATCCCTGCATGTCCTCCAAAACAGCCATGTCTTACTTCACCAGCAATGCAGGTGGTACCTCAGTTGATAGGCTTCTTTGCTGGGCCATTTTTTGGCAAAATGATTTTATGTGATTTATAAGAAGGATGAGAATATTCAGTCAGGAGAAAAAAATACACCAGCACACAATGCTTATCTTTAAATATCTACTATCTGCTCCCCAACAGCCTTCAGTCCCATTAGCCGTCTGATATATTGTTCTGACCTTCTTCAAGCAGCCCCTCAAAACAGCCTCAGGCTCTACTTGCTGTCTGTGTAACTGAATTACTTATAATCTAATGAACTTCTCCAGAGTGAGAAGGAGTCCCCGCCCACTGGTTTTAAAGCCCATCTCATCAATTTGATGGTAAATGCTATTGAAACCAAGCAGTGTGTTGTGCACACCCACTTGAGTGGTCTTTGACGCATGTCTGTGTCTCAAAGCTGTAATGATTTCACACTTGAGCACCTTCCCCTGGGAATACCTCACCTCACAGGGGCTTATAGCGTGGGACTGCTTCGCCTACACAATGAGTACCTGGGGACAGAAATGCCAAGTGTGTCTTCATGGCCTGTCCTACTCCTCAGAGCAGCTTTTTGGTGCCATTCAGCCCTTGCTCCTTTCCAGGAACTGTTTGGTCACTGACAGCCCAGAGGCACGCACCTCACTAGAGCATCAGGTCAGGCAGAGCCATCCCCATCCTTACTTGTCTCCTGCTCTGTTTTCCAGGATTCCTATGACCTAAGGCCCAATGACAGGCTGCTCCTGGGATGTGTTTGAAGTGGGTTTCAATAAGCAGGGGAAGGAGCTGCAGCCCTGGATGCTGTGGGTGCCATGTTCCATCCCCTGCAGTGGAACAGTGCAGGGTGGTTGCCTCTGAACCAGGAGGAATAAGAGCTGTGAAGAGAGAACAGTGAGGCTGTGCATTTTGGCTTATAGTTGCAAAGGGAAATCATATTTTCAGCACTTATTTCCTTCCTTTTGGAGTATTAATTGTGCTTATAAGCCAAAA